TGGGGGGAGGGGGGACTTGGGGGGGGTTCTGTGGCCCATCCCCCCCGCCCGTCACCCCGAGTCCGGTCCCATCCCTGCTTCCACCTTTTCTCATCCCATTCCCGTCCCCTCCCTCCCTCTCAGTCCCAGCGTCCTCCAGTCTCCACCCCCATCCCATCGATCCCGATATCCCCATCCCGATATCCCCCCCATCCCCATCCTAATCCCGACCTCTGCTCCATCCCCATCCCGCCCCGCTCCATCCTCATCCTCATCCTGATCCCGATTCCCAGCCCCGTTCCCATCCCAATCCTGATCCCCCCCTCCGTCCTTGTCCCGATCCCACCCTGTTCCCATCCCAGTCCCGCCTCAATCCCACCCCAATCCCTGCTCCATCCCGATCCCAATCCCTGCCCAGTCCCCATTCCCACTCCCTATCCCTCCCCATCTCTGTCCCTGTCTCCGCCCCAATCCCTGCCCCATTCCCGCCCCCATTCCTGTCCCATTCCCATCGCGATCCCATTCCCATTCCCACTCCCAATCCCTGTCCCATTCCCGCCCCGATCCCGTTCCCATCCCGATCCCTGCCCCATTCCCACTCCTGATCCTTGCCCCATCCCGATCCCTGTCCCATTCCCTGTCCCATCCCCATCCCGATCCCTGTCCCGTTCCCATCCCGATCCCTGTCCCGTTCCCATCCCGATCCCTGTCCCGTTCCCATCCCGTTCCCATCCCGTTCCCATCCCGTTCCCTGTCCCGTTCCCATCCCGTTCCCTGTCCCGTTTCCTGTCCCGTTCCCTGTCCCGTTCCCATCCCGTTCCCATCCCGTTCCCATCCCGTTCCCTGTCCCGTTCCCTGTCCCGTTCCCATCCCGTTCCCATCCCGTTCCCATCCCGTTCCCTGCCCCGTTCCCATCCCGTTCCCTGTCCCGATCCCTGTCCCGTTCCCATCCTGTTCCCGTCCCGTTCCCGTCCCGTTCCCGTCCCGTTCCCTGTCCCCGCAGGTCCCGGTCCCCGCTGACCGCAGCCGCTGGATGTTGGAGGACACCCCGGACAGGCGGTAGATGCCATCGACCACCCCGTGCTGCTCCACGAACTCCGTGCAGCTCCGGAGCACCTGCGGCACTGCGGGACACGGACTGCAATCCCTCAGGGTCCTGCTGATCCCGGATCCCATGGGATCCTGCTGATCCCAGATCCCACAGGGTCCCACTGATTCCAGATCCCACGGGATCCCACTGATCCCGGATCCCTCAGGGTCCCGCTGATCCCAGATCCCACAGGGTCCCACTGATCCCGGATCCCATGGGATCCCACTGATCCCGGATCCTGCAGGGTCCCACTGATTCTGGATCCTGCAGGGTCCCACTGATCCCGGATCCACCAGAGCCTGACCAAGCCCAGATCCACCAGGGTCCAAATGATCCCGGATCCACCAGAGCCTGACTGATCCTGGACGTAACAGGATCCCAGCAAGCCTGGATCCCACAGGGTCTGAGGGATCCTGGATCCACCAGAGCCTGACTGAGCCCAGACTTGACAGGATCCCCCTGATCCTGGATCCCACAAGGGTCTGACTGATCCCAGATCAACCAGAGCCCAGCTGATTCCAGATCCAACAGGGTCCCACTGATCCTGGATCAAACAGAGTTCAACTGATCCTGGATCCACCAGAGCCCAACCGATCCTGGATCCATCAGTGCCTGCCAGCCCAGCTCCAGATCTGGATCCACCAACACCCACCTGAACCCAAAACCGAATCCTGGATCCAGCATCGCCCACCTGGGCCTGGACCCAAATCCCCGATCCAGCATCGCCCACCTGAGCCCAGCCCAGATCCCGGATCCAGCATCGCCCACCTGAACCCAAAACCGAATCCCGGATCCAGCATCGCCCCCCTGAGCCCAGCCCAGATCCCGGATCCAGCATCGCCCACCTGAACCCAAAACCGAATCCCGGATCCAGCATCGCCCACCTGAACCCAAAACTGAATCCCGGGTCCAGCATTGCCCACCTGGGCCTGGACCCAAATCCCCGATCCAGCATCGCCCACCTGAGCCCAGCCCAGATCCCGGATCCGGCATCGCCCACCTGAACCCTAAACCGAATCCCAGGTCCAGCATCGCCCACCTGAACCCAAAACCGAATCCCGGATCCAGCATCGCCCCCCTGAGCCCAGCCCAGATCCCGGATCTGGCATCGCCCACCTGGGCCTGGACCCAGCCCCACCAGCACCAGGGATGGGGAGGAACGTGGCCAACACCCCCTGGACATCTCCAGAGGGTCCCTGCACCTGTCTTGGGCCACCAACTCCACAAAGACGGAGCCGCAGCGGGGCCATCAGCTCCTTGGGGACAAGGCCACAGAGTGGCCGGGAACGAGGCCACTGACCCCACAGGGATGGGGCCACTGACCCCACAGGGAACGAGGCCACTGACCCCACAGGGACGGGGCCACTGACCCCACATCAGGGTCACCGGTCCCACAGGAACGAGGGCACAAAGGCCGAAGGATGGGAGCACAAAATCCAGAGGGATGGAGCCACCAAATCCAAAAGGATGGAGCCACCAACTCCAGAAGGACAGCCACCAAATCCCAAAGGATGGAGCCACCAACTCCGCAGGGATGAGGCCACCAAATCCCGAGGAACAGGGCCACCAAATCCATGGGGAAGAGGCCACCAAATCCCAAAGGATGAAGTCACCAACCCCACAGGATCAGAGCACCAAATCCCAAAGGAATGAGGACACCAACTCCACCGGGATGAGGCCACCAAATCCCAAAGGATGAAGCCACCAGCTCCAAGGAACAGACCACCCAACCCCTCGGGGCCGACCCCCTGAGATCAGAGCCCGACCAAGCTCCAGTCCCCCCCAAATCCCGGCCGAGCCCCGCTGGCCGCGGCGCTTCCTGGAGCCCCGGTGACGCAACGTGTGGCGCAAGTCCCCCTCGAGTCCCCTCCGGGGCCCCTTCCCCGCTTCCGTGGGTGGCCCTGGTGGCACCGGTGGCCCCGGGGGGCTCGGGGGGCGTTTTGGGGGGGTGGCACTCACCGTCCTGCCCCGAGCGCTGGAGATGCTCGAGGAGGTCGCAGCCGAAGAGCCGCTCCCGGGAGCCGCCCTTGCGCCTCGCCCGCTGCCGGGCCTTGAGCGCCAGGGACATGGGGACAGGGACACGGGGACAGGGACACGGGGACAGGGACACGGGGACAGGGACACGGCCGGGGACACGGGGGACACGCCAGGGGGGTCCCGGCGCTGTCCCCGCGGGGGTGGCACAGGAAGGCGGAGGCCGCGCTCGAGGCGCTTCCTGCTCCCCACGGCCACGAAACCGCGGTGAGGGCGGGGACGCCTGCGCACACGCGTGTGCAAGGGACACGCCCTGGGGACACGGGGACACGTGAGTGTGCAAGGGGACACACCCTGGGGACACGTGAGTGTGCAAGGGGACACGGGGACACGTGAGTGTGCAAGGGGACACGGCCTGGGGACACGGGGACACATGAGTGTGCAAGGGACACGGCCTGGGGACACGTGAGTGTGCAAGGGACACGCCCTGGGGACACGGGGACACGTGAGTGTGCAAGGGACACGCCCTGAGGACACGTGAGTGTGCAACGGACACACCCTGGGGCCATGGGGACACGTGAGTGTACAAGGGGACACGCCCTGGGGACACGTGAGTGTGCAAGGGGACACACCCTGAGGACACGTGAGTGTGCAAGGGGACACGGCCTGGGGACATGGGGACACGTGAGTGTGCAAGGGACACGCCCTGGGGACACAGGGACACGCCCATGCCAGACGAGGCTGGGGACACACCCGCGTGTGCGAGGCTGGCACGCCCCTGCTCACGCTCACACGCCTGGGCCTCGCTCTCGCACACTCCCGTGCACACCTGCGCGAGCGTGCGACGGCTCAGGCGGCTTGCACGCCCTCGTTCACGCTCACACACGCCCTGGGGCTCGCAGCCACGCTCGCACACTCGCCACATGCTCACCGGCCGTTGCACACGCATTTGCACGCCCTTTCACAGGGCCCCGAGCGCTCTTGCACGCTTCCTCACCCTCCCTCGTGGGCAGCCGTGGTGGTTTGCACGCCCCCTTGCACACTCCTGGTGTGGTTTGCACACTCCTGGTCACCCTTGCACACCCCTGGTCACCCTTGCACACTCCTGGTGTCATTTGCACACTCCTGGTCACCCTTGCACACCCCCTTGCACACACAGGAGTGTTCCCGTTCGCCTTTGCACACTCCTGGTGTGGTTTGCACACCCCTGTTCACCCTTGCACTCCCCCTTGCAC